CCCCTGAGTTCAATCCCCGGCACCCCCCAATCCCCCCAAAATGTAAACACTATGAAACTGCCACTGATCTTTTCAGGCACCCAAGCTCTTCAAAAATACGAAGGATACTAACTGAATCAAAAGCAACCAATTAAAATCCTGCTGTGAAAAGTACAGATTTATTCATTCATTTGGGAGAACAAATGGAAATATCYATTAATATTTACGATGTTTTACCTTTGACTAAGAAAACATTCTAACAGCATGTTTGTAAGTTGAAGAAAAAAATGAAAACAGTGCAAATGCCATTCAGGGGATTAAATTATACTATGAACAGACAATGAAATCACATGCAATTATTCAAAAGAATAAGGCAAATTTTCTATACATTGAAGTAAAGCTATACACTTTCATTAAGTAGGAAAAAACAGAATTACTCCATTCCATATTTCTCTTTTTAAAAATATTTTATTTATATGATAAAGTTATCGTTGGTTTTAGTTGGAATCTAGAAAATATCCAGAGAAATAAATACTAAACTATTAACAGTTGGTTATTAGTGTTTGGGGAATTTTGTGGGGACAAAGAAAAAACTCCTGGTGAAAGCTTATCTGCTTAAAATTTAAAATTGATGTTATCCTTATCATTGTAACCCAAGTTATTTCAATGACAACATAAGAATCAGAATTCCACAAGGATGGAAAGAAACTCAGAGGTCATAAAAAACAAGCACTCCATGAGGTGGGAGGAGGTGGGTATGCTGAGGAGGCTGCAAGAATCACCTGGGAAGTTTTCCAAAGTATACTTACCATTTACAGAATCTGGTAAGCCACCCCCCGGGGGAGATTACAAACCTTCCAGAGCCTGTGTTACCAATAAAGGTGTCACATCCCTCAGATGCACTGGGAACAAAAAAAGTAAAGAATCTTGCCTGCTCAAAAAGCTCTTCCAGAAACAAGCCTTCAGCGTCTCCCTGAGCACTTCCAAAGATGGAAATTTACTACCTCCTGAGGCAGCCTGTTTCATTTTAGCAGTTCTAATTTAATCTGCCTCTCTAAATGTTCATTCATTCAGCAAAATATTTACTGAGCATTCTCTACGAGTCATGCATTGTTACAGGTGCTGGGAATATGGMATAGAAAAAGACAGAAAAAGAAAAAGAATCTGGCTCCCAAGGAACTTATATGTCTATGGAGAGAAACATAAAACAACTATTGTAAGTAAACAAACAAGGAAATATCAAATAGCAATATGTGATATAAAGAAAATAAAACAATAATAAAGAGTGACTGGGAAGCTATTTTTTACTCAGTGGCCTCAGAAAGCCTCTTTAAGAAAGTGCTACTTAATACCAGTATCTGAAAGACAAAGAATCAACCATATAAAGATCTGGGGACAGAACATTCTAGATAGTTAAAAAAATAAAAAAACCTAACCAAACAGTAGTGATCAGCAGAAGACAAATCCTATAAGATTTTTTAAATCTCAGAAAAGAGTCTGGATTTAGTTCTAAGTGCAATAGGACAGTATTTCAGGGGTTTGAGTAGCTGAGTAATATAAATGATTACACTTTTATTCTTCTGAGTCAGGGTCTCGCTGAGTTGCTCAGGTTGGCCTTGAACTTTCAAATTCTCCTGCCTCAGCCTCCCTCAGTCACTCCCTCAGGCATGCACCACTAAGCCTGGCTGATAATTTTTTTTAATTGGACAATATTAGAGAATGTTTGAATGAGAATGATCCAGTAGACAGAGAAAAATTAATGATGCAGAATGGAGGGATAATTGCAGAAGCTGAATTCCTCAGAGACATGAGAAGACTAGATTCCCTGCATGAGTCAAGGAGCTGGCTGCTGACAGGAAAGGGACACATCTGCTTAAAAGTTAAAATCATCCACCACCCATGAGAAGTAAATCAGAGTGTATGGGAACAGCAGCAGGTGGGCTGTTATGATTCAATAGAAAGTAAAAGGATTCCTGACTACTTTTATTGTTTTAGTTTAAAAAAAAAAAAACTAAGATCATCAACTGAGAATAAGAAAAAGAGGAAAAAGAGAAAAAATTCAAAGAGCATATATTGGCAAAGTAAACATTAGCAAAGCATTATTACAGGAGCACTGGGCAGGGTTTGGTGCCAACCATGTTCCCACTCTCACAAAAAATTCCCATCAGCACCATATTTATAGTTACTTTTTTGCATCTCCCACTATTGTAAACTCTTTTAGAGTAGAGACCATGTTCCTGTGCTTCACCTTAGCAGAGAAACTAGCACATAATTGTTCAGTATTCCTTAAATTATTATATACAAGTTCACAACTTAACATATACAGTATTAAGCACTGAGGATGAAGAGATGAAAGATGGTCYCTACCCTCAAAGGCTCACCTTTCAGAGGGAAAATAGGCACAACAGTAAATACAGTACCATCTATCTCCCTCCCTTCCCTCCCTCCTTCCCTCCCTCCTCCTCCTCCTCCTCCTTTTCTCCCCCTCCCTCCTCTCCTACTCCTCCTCCAGCTTCTCCTCCCTCCCCCACCCTCTCTTCCCTCTGCACAAACACAAAGAATGAAGCAGGAATACAGAAGATTTCAATCTGCAGGAAGAGTCAGGAATGGATTCCAAAGGAAAGACCATATACAAAGCAAAGGAATATTAAGACAGTCAAAGAAAAGTAAAATAATAGCTTCAGATATCATGAGTATTGAGGGAATTACYTGTCAATAATGATGGAGCATAAGGTACAAAGGAGTCAGAGGCAAGAAATGAAGCTGGAGATACGGATAATGCCAGAACATGAAAGAACCTGTGTAGTTTTTTGTTTTGTTTTGTTTTTTTAATTTTCTTTTGAGAAAAGAGACAAATATGGAGAGTAGCCCATCAGGTCTGCAAGTCAAATCAAGCCTGCAAATACAGCAGAAGAGACTCCAGAGGCTCGAAGGCCAGTAAGGCGAATTACAGTGGCCTAGATAAGAGATATGAAAAACCTGAGGCACTGAGGATGAAGAGGTAGCAATGGACATGAAGATGTTTAGAAACAGAATAATCAGTCACAAATATGGCAAAGTTCCAATCTCCTAGAYGGCAGTTATGAGAGATAATAGGATCCACAAATTGGGTGGTCAACACCAAAAGAAATGCTGCACCTCAGTCCACTCAGCCTAATAGTTCCCTCCGACCCATGCTGGATAGTCTCCCTGCCTTTCAAATTCTATTTCTTTCGAAAATGTAAACTAAGAGTAACAAAAGTATTTCCAATGAAAAGCCAAAATTGTTTCAAAGGTTAGAAAGAGAATGGACCAAAGTTGAAAAGTGATTTAGAAACTGATTTCAGGGACTGGGAATGTAGCTCAATAGGTGAAGCACTTGCCCAGCATGCACAGGCCCTAGGTTCAATCCCAGCAGAGGGCCCCCCACATCCCCATTTCAAGACCCTAAGATTTATTTTAAGAACACTCTTATTGATTTCAAGACCTAAGAGTAAAACCTGACTTCAACACCTAAGACTTATTTTAAGAATAGTCTTACTTTTTTACACATGTCCACCGTAAATAGCACTTTAAATAAACAGAGATTTCAGTTAGGCAGAAAAGAAACTAAAAGGGCTTCCAATACTGGAATGTTACTCTAAAAAGGGATATATGTCCTCCTYTAGCAATATTTTAACCATAAGATAAACAGCTGCTGAGGATGTTTGAAATCCATCTGGAAGAAGAAATATATTCTGAGGTTCTTTTAAAGCCTACTATACATATACTCAYATGTGTTTAAAGCCTACTATACCATACATATACTCGTATATATGTGTATATACATTCATATATACACACACACAAATATGTGTAACATATTTATAAATTACCATCCCCCTACACCTAGCTCCTTCCTGAAACCATGTCTAAGTCTCCTGATCATGAGATGAGGGAACACACCAGACCATCTCATACCACTGGACCCAGATAATAGGTTTTTATTTTGTTTTGTTTTAATATCACAGCATTCTAAAATTGGCTTAAAATGCACTGATCAATTTTTCCATATAGCATATGCTAAATTAACCCATGCAGAGAGAACAGAATAAAGTGCCAAAAAAGAAATTAGGGRAACAGATTAAAGAACTTCACCCTCCAATTCATTCTACATACTTAACTCCAATTTTAAGTCTCTACTACARTTCTCAGATGCTCTTCCTTATCCACATATGGTACAAATTCTTGGGCCTGGATCTCAAAGCTTCAGTATCTAGCATCATCTAATCCTTCACCATAATCTCCTACAATACCCTTTCTCTAGCCATACTGGCAACCTCCATTCTCCTACACACACCACACACATACACACATAAAAGTTAGAAAGCCCGCAAACAGATACAWGTTTTCCTTTCCCAAAAATGAAGAAAGGATATGCATCAAAATTTAAAATTTCTAATTTACTAGTTTTCAAATAATGACCTGGGCTAGCAAAGGAGGTAGGATTTAGTAAACTCAATGATGTCAAAAGCAATGCAAATGATACCTTTCTATGGCAACAATGAATTGTCATGAATCTTTTTTCTGAAGCCACTCTTATTTCTCTGTCCCTATTACCTGTTATCTCACAGATTTGGAACCTCGACCCCGCCCCACTCCCATATCAGCCTTAAGACTAATATGTCTCTTCACTAAGCATTCTCCTCAATAACAAGCCATCTAGTTCYCATTAGAGGACAGTGTGCCAACACAATTTTAGCCTCAACAAGCTCAAAAATGGGTCTTGGTGTAAGTAGAAGTCATCTGCTCAAAAAACTTTTGATTTTTAACACACTAACCTATCAATAGTCCATGTCCACTCTTCACCAAATCACTCTTTTCCATGTGGCCCTGAAAAGTCATCCTTAACCCTAGAGTCTTACAAAGTCATCTTTTAAAAAATATGCTTTAGGGATTTGCCTCAGGAAGACAAAAATCACAAAACCAAACTAATCAAGAGGTTTCACCTCTAGATTGGATAATAAAATTCTTATATTTAGTATTGAGTTCACAGAGAAAAGAAGGCTAGGATGCTGCCACAGGTCTTGGTCCTCAAAACTCAAAAATGGTAACTAAATGTCTAATCAACCAGCTAATTCTGCAATTCCAGACCCAGACCCAGACCCAGTTAGCACACAAGTCCTTACACCAATTTTTAAGTTCTGAGAAGTAAAAATATCTCTGGTGTGTCTTAATTAGCACATTTTAATTAATGCATTTTACAGATCTAAAACTTTAAGCAGGCCACGGTCCTAAATCATCTCCAAATGATTCTAACACTGTCTTTTGTCTGTGGCCCAACCAGATTGTAAATGCTTTGAAAATAAGAAACATACCGCTCTATTCCCCTTCTCGGACTATTTCCAAAAGACCTAAAAAGAGCATACTACAGGGATACATTAATGTTCATAGCAGCACAATTCACAATAGCTAGACTGTGGAACCAACCTAGATGCCCTTCAATAGATGAATGGATAAAAAAAAAAAAAGTGGCATATTACTCAGCACTAAAAAATAACAAAATCATGGAATTTGCAGGGAAATGGATRGCATCAGAGCAGATTATGCTAAGTGAAATCTGCCAATCCCTAAAAAACAAATGCCGAATGTCTTCTTTGATATAAGGGGGGCAGGGCATGAGAAGATTACTATCAAACAGGGACGAAAGGCGGGAGGGAATGGGAGAGAGAGGGGGAATTGCACGGAAGAGGGAAGGAGACCCGCATTGTTATACAAAAATACATATAAGAGGATGTGAGGGGAAGGGAAAAAAATGAGAGAGAGAGAGAAGATGAGCTATGGTAGATAGGGTAGAGGAAGGGGAGGGGAGGGAGGGGGGATAGGAAGGGGATAGGAAGGGCAGCAGAATACAACAGACACTATATGGCAGTATGTATAAACGTGGCTGTATAATCAATGTGATCCTGCAATCTGTACATATGGGAATAATAAGAATTCATACCCCATTTGAAACAAATGTATGATATATGTCAAGATCAATGTAATGTTTTGAGCAACTAATAAATTTCTGATGTTAAAAAAAAATTAAAATTAAATTAAAAAATAAATAAAAGATTAAAAAAAAGAAATATACCGCTAATGAATCCCCAAAGCATTTACCATAAAACTGAGTATTCAACTCAAAATTCAATTGATAGCCTGCCTAATGATCACACTGAAAAGTAAACAATTCTGGTATGTTTTCAAAGTTAAGTAGTAGTCAAAACCAGTTTCTGGAATAGCCCATGTAGTGGCCACTTATAAACTGGACTGGCTAACACTCCTGGGCCAAGCCTGTTCTCAGTTTTCACTGCATCTGGTTGGGCAAGAAAGGTCAAATTTCGGTAAAAATTTATGGAGGCAGTTCTCATTAAATATGGCAGTTCAGCCAGGCATGGTGGGCCAGGCCTGTAATCCCARTGGCTCAGGAGGCTGAGGCGTGGTGGGCTGGGGATGTGGCTCTGTGGTTAAGCACCCMGGTTTCAATCCTGGTACCAAAAAAGAGGAAGGGGGCATTTTAAATGCTGGGAATTTTAAAAGAAAACTAAAACATAATTATGTGAATAAAAATCGAGTTCAGGATAATGAAAAAAGTAGGACAGCTTCATCCACGAGAAATAAGTGGGAACAGATAAAAGCTAAAATCAAATAAGAACGGGATCAACAAGCAAAGCACCCATATTTATCTTCATCACACTTTAACTTAAAATTTTCCCCAGAGATCACTAATGATTAGGCCTACATGAGAGAGAGAACTCAGGGTTGGATTTTTCATTTAAAAGTCTACCAAATTGAAAGTTATGTTAAAGTTAAGTGAAAGTTGGAATTGGATTTTTCCCTGGACCAATATGAAGTGCAGGGATCACAGGTGGAGCAGCGACATGAAGTTGTCTTCAGATATTAAATTCCAGCTCCTAAACGGCTGTTTAGTATTGGAAGACTGACAGACAACCTCTCTGGGCCTCAATTTCCCCACTTACAAGAAGAGTACTGTTCAGACTCTTCCAAAACTTTACAGGGCGGTGGTCTGCCATAAWATAGCGAGAACAGAACTGCTACTGTTGTGATTACTTATAGAATTACCCGCTAGGATGAAGCTCCCCACACAAGAGATGAAGCCCGAGAGGAAAGAGTTGAAGGGGAAAGTCCCCACGAGGAGACAGTAACCGAACTGCAGAGCTCCGGTCAGCAGTATATACAGAAGATAAGCGTCCAGCAACTTCAGCCGCTGCGGAGTGGAGCTCAAGTACTCTTCTAAGAACCGCGAGATGACCGACACTACTGACGCGGACATGACTACCACGCTGGGATCTCCGGGCCGCTCGACCCAAACTCCTGGAGAATCCGACGTCCACAACCAAGGCAGCGTTTGCGCGCGCGCAGTGCGGCGGCCCAGCTCCGCACCGCCCCCAGGAGCCAATTTGCGCAAGCGTACAAGCAGGGCGAGGAGAGAGACAACTAATGCGCAGACGCAAACTGCATCCACACAGGGCGAACTACGGCCAGAAATAGTGAACGCGTCTGCGCACAGGATACGTCAATGGGCTGGAGACGTGTCCTCTTTTTATTCTATTTCCGCCGTCCGTTKGGTGACGCCCATTGTTGCTCTGGCAACAAGATATTGTGGGAGGAAGACGGGGAGAGGTTTAGCAGCGCACTGTGTTGCTAACCCAGCGTTCCGGCTCTCTTGGGTCCTCCCGAGTCCTCAAAAACTAAATGTTTCAATCTACTTAGAGGCAATCTTTGACGCTCTCGGGGTTCGGTACCAGTCAAGCCTTAATTCTATTAAGGACTCTGCCAATACCTATCACAAATCATTAGAGCAGGTCAAGTTCCTCCGTAATGAGAACTACCGCGGTTAATCCTTGTGCACGCACCAGTGTAGAACTGCTTGGGGGCGAAGGGGGCTTGACTTCTACAGCATCATAAACCGAAACTCCGGGTCTGGCCCTGTAACCAAAACCTGCAGATTCATTCACTCAACATTTATGGGGCGCCTCGCCTCCTAGCTTGGTGCTAAATTGTAGAGACTTTCAAGTGAATCAGATAATACAACAATCGCTTCTTTAAAAGAGGCATTATGAGAATGGTCGCTTATCATGCATAGGTCATGTCTTCAAGAGCTCTCCGCCCCCATGCCAGGGTCTAGAATCTGGTGTGATATCCCAGGGTGTTAACACTGAAAGGCCCGCAAGTGCATGTCTAGTTCAACTCTGCCCTCCAACTCATTTTGCAGAGGATTCTGAAATGAAGGTTTGAGAGTTTGTATCTTAACAAAACGATATTAACTATTTTTAGCGTTTTAACTTTTAAAATATCCAGGTCCTGCCTTTTGACTTTCGTTGTCCTTATAATCTCAAATTCATCTGACCTAAACCTACTTTGCCTTTGCCTTTCAACTCCAAGCCTTCTGGCACATAACCAGGAACTTTATTTCAGCTTCTAAAACTCTGAGCTGTCCTAGGTACAGGAGCAAAATTTCTAAAACAGCAAGTGAACAACAACTTTTCTTCATTTTGACTTTTATTTGCGTTTAGACTGAAAATTCATCAGCATCAACAAATATATTGATTTTCAGTGATAAACAAAGGCTTGCTTAAGTTCTTGAAAAAAAGAGAAATGTCCTTAGGAAGTTTTTCAGTTTATTTGAAGAGGTTTTTACTGTCATATGAACTAAATTCAGCCTAAGCCCTTTTATATTGCTCTGAAAAAAAGAGTCGATAACGAAACTGGTTCCTATTCAACATAATATGGTAGAAAATGTCAGTTTCTCTGACAGTTGAGCCTTTCTCCCTGCCTCATCAGCAAGTAGAAGAGTAGAATTCAACTTCAGACTTTACAGGCTGGGCAGATGCTTTTTAATTATTCAGGAGTGAACTTCTCAAGGGGTTTCCATTCCATCCGCCAGGCTCCTTCCAGCACACTTCCTTATGTTTTCCTGCCTTTGATCCTTGTCAACCATCATTATTAACATCTTCATGGGAACTCCCACAGGAGGAAAGCAGAAGAGATGAAAAACATCAAATTCACTTACTGAATGCATCCCTTTCTGAGAACTGCAAAGTTCCACTAATATAATTAACTAAAACTTTTCTGGAGTATTTAAAACAAGATAAGATCTTATTCCTTGTTCAGCTTATGATTCTATTTAACTGATATATCAATAGAAAGTTGCTAATACTGGTGTTGGTTTTAGTTAGTATAAATTAGAACATCTACATAGATATATATAAATCAATCTCTCCTTCTCTCTCTCTCTCTCTCTCTCTCTCTCTCTCTCTATATATATATATATATATATATATATATATATATATATATATAAAACTTTATGTACACAGTAATGGAGTAAGATTGCAATCTCTTGAGTCATACAAACCTAGATTTGAACTTCAATTCTAAGATTTACTAGTTATCTAGCCCAACAGGTGAGTCTGACAGTTTCATTTTCCTTTTCTATAAAATGAAAATAACAATATCTAAGTCACTGGAATGTTGTATGGATTAAATGAGATCATGCTAAGCATTAACCACTTAGCATTAGTGGTTGACACACAACAAATATTCAATAAATGTTCAATACATATTTACTCTTATCATTTACATATATACATGTATTTACATATATATTATTAGTTCTGAAAATCAACTATGTCTACTTCCCCTATTTCTCTGAATAATTAAAAGTTGGCCACACTCCAAAGTCCCAGTATTCTAGGCACACACAAGATGGCACTAGAAGGATTGCAACCCAGACAATTCTAAAAGGCCAAATCATATTTATAAGCTGAAGCATAAGTCAGAGTAGACCTTAGAGGTTTTATTACAGAAACAATTAACATCATAAAACAATGGGAGAGTAGAGAGGCAAAAAGGCTCCCCCCCCCATGGGTAAAGTTCATGGTTCTACATCCTGTCACTCTATAATGAGAAAGTACATTCCTTACTAAAAGAAACACAAATCCTTCAAAATTTGAGTAGAAAAGGATTATTTTTTTWAAAAATCTCTGTAAGAGTCTCTTTTCCAATTCTTATTTTTTTGTATTTTCTCTTTTGCTTTAAGAGTTCCTATTGCTTCTTTCTACTGTGATTTCTTGTTAACAGTCCATCTTTTAAACTATGGCCCTAGTTTGATAAAAACCCCTCTTTTCCTTGTTTTCTAATAGAACAGATAAAATAAGTTATTATGTTCAAAAGGAAAATTTTTTAAGGGGAATAAAATTGCAGACAGCACAAAGTCAAATTTCTAAAGTATCAGGTTTCTGATCCAAGTCCTAGTCAAGCAGCAGATATCTTCAATGAACCCATATTCCTTCAGGTTTCCAGTCCCTGAGGGAGTGGAACAACTTGCAGGCTATTGTGTCTGATTTCCCACCCTCCCAGCTCTTTGAAATTCCCATAATAGCCTCAATCTTGTTCCCTCCCTAGTACCCAGAAGAGAGTCTACCATATTTTCCTTTACAAGGGCATTATKAACTCTTGGTTAGTAAGAGTTATTGTACTCCCTGCAATGGGGAGCTGAAATCATCAGTGCCCAAGCAACACTGCACTGTCCAGTAGAATTTTCTGTCCTTGGGTTGTTCAATATAGCGGCAACTAGACATACGTGGCTTTTGAGCACCTGAAACATGGGGCTAATGTGACTAAGGAAATTTTGATTTTTATTAATTTAAAACTTAGTAGCCACATGTGGCTATCTTTGGACACAGTAACTTTAGAACTGTTTCACTGAGTATCTACATTTAGTCTAAGAATCACACCTTGTTCATAGTTCATTCAAAAGGAAGTGACGCCCATTTGCAAATAAACAACAACAAAAAAATCATCTGTTCCTGCAAGGCCAGAGCTTTTGGTTTATCARCTCCACTTTCTTTTGGAATGTTTATATTCCAAACATAAAAGAAACAGAAAAGAGAATTTGTCAAATTAATTTCCTTTCATAAAGGCCACATTAATGGGTTGGGGTTATAGCTCAGTTGGTAGAATGCTTGCCTTGTATGCACAAAGCCATGAGTTCAAACCCCAGCATTCCCCCCAAAACAGTCACATTTGTATGTTATTATTACTATTTTGGTACTGGGAATTGAACCCAGAGGCACTTTACCACTGAGCTTCATACCCAGTCCATTTTAATTTTTATTATTTTTATTTCCATCTGTCTTTATTGATTGATTGATTTTATTTTGGCACTTAAAATTGAATCCAGGGGTGCTTTACCACTAAGCTACATACTCAGACCTTTTTTATTTTTTATTTTGAATCAGAGTCTYACCAAGTTGCTTGAGGGCCTTGCTAAATTTCTGGAGCTGGCCTTGAACTTTGGATTCTCCTCCTCAGTTTCCTGAGTCACTGGGATGACAGGTATGCACCACCATGTCTGGCCATATTAATACTTTAATCATATAAAGTCACACATGTTGGAGTTAGAATAAAAATTATTCTTTYACATTTGTATATGATATGTCTTGTCTGGAAGGCAAGAAGAAAAAAGTCACCTTACATTTTCTCCTGAGAAGCTTTTCTAGAATAGGCACTGAGAGTCTTTCCACTTTGTAACATTTTAGCAGATCCAGCCTAATCCTGAGTTATCCCAGCTCTGGAGATACCTTAAGGGATCTAATAACATTAATTACAAAAGGCATCTTCCATACATTCAAATTTCCTGCTTCCAAAAAAGCTGATTTGGCATACATGGAAACAAAATACAAATGCTTTTCTGCACTACCTCCTGAGGTAGGGTCTAGAGAGTTTTAATACCAGTTTTGCCCAATCATCTGTACTTTAAAAAAATCTTACATCTTATAGATTCTCAGAAAAGTGGAACATTTTGCTATCCTGTGTYAGAATTTCCTACATGGCCCAATTAAATTACAGCTTCCAAAGTCCTTGGCACCTGGCACATTGTTTTATAATTGTTTATATGTCTCTGCTTCCTCACTAGACGCCCCCCCCCCCAGACACACTGGGGTTTGAACCTAGGGGCCCTCTACCACTGAGTTACATCCCCAGACTTTTTTTTTTTTTTTTTGACAGATTCTTCCTAGTTTGCCAAAGCTGGCCTCACATTTGAGAGTCTCTAAAGTAACTAGAATTACAACTCACCTGACCCAGTCTCACCCAGCCTCACTAGACTTTTCATACCCAGCCTCACTAGACTGTAAGTACTAACACCTGATCTGTTGTACATATGTTTTATCCTGTAAGTACTAACACCTGATCTGTTATACATATGTTTTAGCTACTGGGAGCAAAACAGAGAATCAGACAACTTAATCTCCAATTGAGGGAAACAGATAATAAATGAGTTAAAAATATGCAAGATAATTTCAGATAGTAATAAGTAATATTAAGAAAATAGCATGATGGAACTCTTTTAGACCCTTTGGTCAACAGAGGCCTCAGAAGAGGGAAAGTTTGAGCTGAGCTCTGAATACAAAATTGCCAGTTCTACAAAACCAATAATAATATTGGGTGGCAGCATATGGAAAACCAATGTGTACCAGTGAATTATTTCTTTCCTTTTAATTTCCTTAATTGGTTAATTTATTTCCTTTTGATACTTGCATTCATAATCCCCACCATAATGCTTGGCCTTGAATAATAGAAACATTTTTAGCACAAGTAAGAATACTAAATGTTTATTTGAATTATCTTAGTTAATTCTCACAAGGCACAATTTTGAAGAAGAAATTAAGAGATACAAAATAACTTGCCCAAGGGTAGGCAATAGATAAATGGCAAAGCCAAGATTGACCTTAATCCAGCCTTCTGACCCTGAAACCTATGTTTTTGTTGAACCCAGAGGCACTTTACAACTGAGCCATATACCTAGCCCTTTTTATTTTTTATTTGAGACAGGGTCTCACTAAGTTGTTTAATGGGTCTCATCAAACACCAGCATCTGCAGTACTTCCAAAAATGTTTAGCTTTTAGTATGAAGACAAATCGGCTGAATTAGAATCTGAGGGTAGGGATTGGAGATCTATCTTTTAAACAATTCTTTAAGATGAATCTTATGCATGCTGAAGTTTAGGACTCCTGTGTTTGGTTTTGCAAACTCCTAGTCCCCCTAAATTCTGCAAATGCCAGTTTTCGTAAATGTTAAATACTTATAAATGATCAGTTTAACACTTATGAGAAAGAAGAAATCTTGGAATCTCTCAAGTCCTGCAGGAAAACTTAAAAGAAAATTGCCTTGGAAAATCCCTCTACACCAGCATTCTCCCACCAGTGCTCCACTACCACTCCAGTCTGGTTTCATCCTAACCAAGGGAATGATCTGAAATCTGACAGCTCCAAGGACTTCAAGCCCTGTTTACAATTCAAGTGAATTCTGCAGCCAGCTTCAAGATTTGGTTCCTCTACTGAGCCAGCCTGAAGTACACTCAGGATCTCTAGGGTAAGCCAGTCACCACACCTCCCATGTCTCCCACCCTGGTACATAAACAACATACTCAAAGCACTCCTCTCCTCTGGAGTTTGAGATCTCCAAACTAATGGAGACCAGAGTTGAGCTACAGACTCATCCCCTGAGCAGAGGAATGTCTGTTTTGTCAGACAGCATCTAGGTTAAGGCCTAGTAAGGATGCACAGTTATGTCCAAATATTGTGTGGGACATGCTTATTCTTAAAAATTATTCATTTGGGGGCTGGGGATGAGTTCGGTGGTAGAGTACTTCCCTAGCATGTGGGAAGTCCTAGGTTCAACCCCCAGCACTTTCATCACAAAAGAAAATAAAAACTGAAGTTCAAATTTATCTAGGAGTCCCCTCCCCCTGTTTTTAAAAATAACTTTCTAAATCTGACAATCTACTTGGGGTACAAGCTCTTAGGCTCTTTGTAGGATCAACCATTGATGTTTCCACAAATATTTTAAGCTTCCCATTAGAAGGAACATCAAGAGAAGACATCTGGGGAAGGGAGCCATAAAAGGAAGCCCAAAGCATGTGTTCCAGAATGCAGAGGTGGTTCTGTCATTTTAAAAAATTTGTCCCTTCATCCCAGTGTGGAACACTTATAAAAACTTTAATATAATATGTAGCATAAAATTATAAGCTAATTATAATATCATAAGCTCTATTTCCAACCTATTTTAATATACTCCTGTCGATTACGTGGGCATATTCGCAGAATTGAAAACTTGGGACTTCGTAGTTGATGAGAGAAGGGAGGGCTGATGGAGCTTCTGTGAGGGCCTTTGAGTTTTAGCACTACCCATCTCCCGTCCCCCAAATGTGTGACCAGGATTACTGTCCTATTTTGAGACACCTCGCCTCACCCAGAGTCATCTCTGCCAGTAATAGGAAACAACACCAAGGGCTCCACAGCTCAACCCGCAGTGGCGAAGTTCACCTGTCAGCTGCCGCTGCCKGCAGATCGCCGGGGCCACCAGGACCGCGTTGGCCCCGCCTCTGGCGCCGGGCGCAYCGGCCACGCCCCCTTTGTTATCCGATACTTTTCTGGGTCAGCTGGTGCTGGCGTCAGGCAGAGGGATGGGCTGGCTCAGCTCGACCCGGCAGGGCTTGTTTACTATGGCTGATGATCTGGAGCAGCAGTGAGTTAATCCTGTCTCTTTTCTCTTTCTCTCTTTCTCTTTGGGCCATGATCCTGGGACTGTCTGTGGCTGAGGAACAATTTTAGACACCTTTCCGTCTTTCCTTTCTCAGGTTGGCTTCCAGGAAGGGCTGGAGGGGTGCGTTTGCTTGCTTTGCTTTTGCCCAGAAGAGGCGGGCAGAGCCGAGGGAGCGATGGTTGATGAGCTTGCTGCAGCAGCTCAGTGATTTTGAATTTTCCAATTAGTCTTCACGATTGCCCCTCATTTTCCTCTACAGAGGGGTTAGACATAGTGGTAATTATTGCACGAGATTCCCCGAAAGCAAGCTTTGGGGACGCGGGTGCGGGGGTAGCGGCTGAGGGTGCTTGTCCCGACTTGCTTCAGGACTATAGTTGTGGGTGTGAAAAGAGCCTTTTAGCTCGACAAGGAGAAGGCGTGGGAAGAACGCTGAGGTCTCCCCTGCGCGGGACTGATGTGAAGTAATGGGTCTGAGAGTTACTTTAGTTCTCGCCCACCAAGACACGTTGCTGCTTACAGTTCTATTGACAGTGCTTTTAATCATCATAACGACGCCCTTAATACAGTGGTTTCAGAATTAGATTTGGTGCTTTTTTTTTTWAATAAACTGTTTCAAGGGCATCAGGTTTAGGATGCCACCTGTAGGTGGTGTGACTAGCAGTTCGCAGTCTGATGGAAGCAAGAAAAAGTTGCTTGGAGAATGACTCAGCTCCAAACCAAGCCTTGGTTTCACAGGAACAGGGCCTTGGACTCAGAATTCACTCTTTCAGACCTGCAAAACTGATAGCCTGAAAAACTAATTAAATGTATCACAATAATAAATAGCTTCCTGGTCTTGAAGGAACCTCCCTAGAGGGTTGCTTTCAAAGACTACTTTTCCAAGAGGAAACTTATAATGATTTAGGGAAACAGAATATTAGAGCTGAAAGAGATGTAAGATGTTCAGCTCCATGTTACAAATAAAGAACTTGGTGCCCTTAGAAATTGGAGACTTGACCAAGATCACAGAGGTCTAGAACAGGATTCTCTCCCAGCACAGAACTTCTGCTTTACCTGCTTCAGGATGAAAGAGACCACCCTGGCCAAGTTAAGTTGATGCTAAGTGGCTTCTCTGCTCCTTGCCTTAGCCTTTACCTCCCAAATAGCATTGAAAAGATACAGTGTGCCAGGCACCAATTCCTGGAGTTTACCTGTAAAATTTTTGGTAAAGGAAAAAAAGGTAAAATAAAGCTCTTCCCAAGGAATATCTGCTGAGCAGCCTGTGGTGCTGTTCTATGGGACAGCATTTCTCTGAGCTCTGCTTTGGACAATTATAGGGCAATGTGGGGTCCACATGTGACTTGTGACCGTCTCTTTGAATGACATGGAGAGAAAGATTGGCTTATGAAACTGGCAAAAATTTTGTTGACTTGGTCCCCAGACTTCAATCAATCAGGAAATTTTGGCAGAATATTAAAAGGATTCTCCCTCTGTGTAAGATTAGATGGTTTGAGAATTCTTGTCTGGCTAAAACCACTGATGTACCACTTCACCTGCAACATAAGTTTTTCTTTCAGACCTCCAACATTCTTGATAGTTATAACTTGCAAGACAGCCTGTGATTTAACTGAAGGGAAAGAAGGTTTGTTGAGAGTTTTATCTTGTGCTAGGCATTATTTTATGTGCTTTAGATGGATTGACTCATTTAATACTTTCATAGAAAGTAATCCTATGAGGTAGGTACTGTTATCTCCCTTTTAAAGATGAGAAAACTGATACAGAAAACTAAAACTAATATGGCTGAAGTTACATTGTTAAGTGATAGTGGTGGAATTATAACTCTGGCCATCTGGTTTTAGATCACACCTCCCTTCAGAAAACACACACATGAAGATGTGGTTATATATTGTGATTGTTCATGAATGACCTTGAAAACTGAGACCAGAAGGTCCAGGGAGGAGGTAGTGAAGAACTTGGATTTGAGATCTGGATTCTTTTTTTTTTTTTTTTTTTTGAGACAGGGTCTTTCTAATATACTATATGGCCTCCCTGGGCATCAGTTTTCTCACCTGTAAAATAAAGAGGCTAAACTCTACTTCTAAGGAAATAGCCTAATTGAAAGTTCTGGGCTTCAAATGATCATGAGGATACCCACCATGTGCCAAGGGGGCTGTGGTTATAGCCTCCCCTCAGAATGTACCTGCATTAATTATACTGATGTTCACAGGCCCTTCCTGAAGCCATCTGTCCTGTAACCCCCTTTACTTAGGCAGAGTTAAAGAAAAAAGAAATATCATGTAGGATAGTAAAGGAAAAGCAAAAACTGTCATTCGTTGAGTATCTAATTTGTGGTGGGCACCTGATGAGGTCCCTTACATATCTAGACAGGTTAACTAAATAACACCTGTCTGCTCATCAATGTTAGTACTGTGATTCATATCCAGGAGTTGCTCGTTTGTTTATTAATTCCAGCGCTGGTGATTTTAACCTCTGCTCTGCAATGACTTAAAGTCACTGAGTATGGAGGAAAAAGCAGGATGGGTTATCTTATGTTTTATTGTATTCTGTGTGTTGAGGACATAGGCAACTCATTTTACTACTCATTTTACTTTGCTCTTGGAAAACAAGACCAAAATTAACCTGTGTCCTGTGTATGAAACATAGTGGGGTTTGAACCCAGTTCTACTGCCTTGTGCCTGCCCAATCTCCATGTTCTGGGCTGACTGGGTTACCTGAGAGCTCAACTGGGCATGGGCACATGCTTCACACTTGTAGGAGCCTGAAACAGGGCCAGGAGGGMAGGTGGCATGGAAATTGTCTTTCTAACCCTAAAGGAACAGCTAATCCTAAGACTAGAAAAGGATAATTGAAATATTAGTTAAAAGTTGCTTTCTCTCCCCTTTTAATCTCCTTGAACATAAATTATGATAACCAGTAACAAAGGGGAGTTGAAACAAATGAGATAATAAATGAGAAAGAGCTTTGTCAAGTTTATGGTATCTGTTGAAACAATGGGCATGTTGTTGGTAACAGACATTTCCCAGGGAAGAGTAACAGTCTATCAGGMAGTAGAGCATTGCTGACTGCTATAGTGGGCAGGTCTCCTGAGCCTGAGTAACACCCTGTGCTCTGATAAGTCTTCTATCAGCAAGGCTGAGAGCTTCAGTATTTCCTTTCCAATGTTGCCAGTAAACATCTCCGTGTCTCCTTGTTCTAGGCCTCAAGGCTGGCTGAGTAGCTGGCTGCCTACTTGGCGTCCCACTTCTATGTCTCAGCTGAAGAATGTGGAAGCCAAGATCCTCCAGTGTAAGTAGAAGGTGCAGCTTGTCCTCCCTCCCTTAGAAGGTCCAAGAAAGATGCAGGATCTGTCCAGAGCTGGGTACACTGAGCCCACTGAGATCTGATTAACAGTATATGGGGTAGAGGAAAATATGGCAATGATCTGAGGGAAGATTCACACAGAGAACTCTATATTCTATGGTAGTGGTTCCTCGGCTTCTCCATAACCATCCAGCTCTTACCACATCCTACAACTTCACCTCAATCCCTAATGTGTCAACACACACAACACACATGCACTCTTCTCTCCATCCCTCCTTCCTTATCCCCATTCCTCTCTTCCTCCTTCTCTTTTTCTCTTAACACATAAGCTTTTATTAACTTACCATCTTCCTTTCTGAGGATCAGCAATCCTTCATTCTCTAACATTGTTTCCTGTTTTCTACCCAGCTGTGGTCTACCACCTATCTACTTACCACAGTTTGAAACTCTCACAGACCAGCTCTCCTAGACATTATGTTGAGGCAAGGCATCCCATAAACAGCAGTAGCTAATGGCTCAAACAAGATCTTTGGGCTATGAGTTGACCTTGGCTTCTCTCCTGTCTTCAATCTGCCTAGCCCATGATAGTCCCCACCCTGCCCTACTACCCACAGCCACGATTACCCTCCTTATCTACAACCCTGCCCAACAAAATGGAAAGATCCAGGCTACATCACCCAGACAACTCTGTTGCATGATGACAGAGCAAAAACTACCTACCTTGGTGTCTAAGCCCAAGGCTCAACACACGCCCAAAATTCCCTCCACCTGGCTGCCAAGTCCCAGAGTGATAGATGCTGGTACAACCAATCTGGAAAGCAGTATGAAGATTCCTTAGGAAACTAGGAATGGAACCACCATTTGACCCAACTATCTCACTCCTTGGTTAATACCCAAAGAATTTAAAACCAGCATACTATATTAATGCAGCCACATCAATGTTCATAGCAGTTCAATTCACAATAGCTAAACTGTGGAAGCAACCTAGATTGCTTTATCCTTCAATAGATGAATGGATAAAGAAACTGTGGTATATATGCACAATGGAATATTACTCAGCATTAAAAGATAATAAAATTATGGCATTTGTAGGTAAATGGAAGGAATTGGAGAATATTATGCTAAGGGAAGTAAGCCAATCCCAAAAAACCAAAGGCTGAATGTTCTCTCTGATAAGTGGATGCTGATCCATAATGGGGATGGGGGAGATATGCAAAAATGGAGGAATTTTGGGTGGAGGGGAGGGGGCATGGGGGCAGGAAAGATGGTGGAATGAGATGGATATCATTACTCTAGGTACATGTATGACTGCACATATGGTGTAATGCTACATCATGTACAACCATAGAAATGTGAAGTTGTGCTGCAATTGTGTACAATGAATCAAAATGCATTCTAATGTCATGTATACCTAATTATAATAAAAAGTGTTGGATGCAAGAGCTGCATGGCGTCAGTGGTGTCACTGCCACCCTGGGCCCAAAGCAAGCTGGGTACATAACATCAAGGAATAATATGGCTCCTCTTACTACTCACAAGCAAATGGTATACAAATTGTGCTTGGACTTGAATTCTTTGGGGCATGTGGTATAAAAGAAAGAATTACTCTGATACTTACTGAATCTATTAGGAAGACTATTCAAGACTATTCTAAATACTGCAAGGACAAGAAGGGGCATTTATAACTGAGGAACAGGGTGAAGGGTTCAGAGGATGGAAAATTACTAGGAGGAAATATCAAGAACAGGGGAGTTCTTATCAAATTGACTTTATGCTGAAGGATAGTCAAAGGTATGAGATGAGGAACTTGATCAACTATAAAAGGTGAGGGAATTTTTGTTAACCTCACCTTTTATGAAGTAGTAGGCAGGCTGAAGACAGGGTGGGAGCCAAGGTCAAAAGGAGCTTGCCTAAAGTTTGGTCAAAAAGAGAGTTGATCAGTTGTCAGTGGGTTGTACAAGAGAAGAACTGAGGGAGGTTGGGAAGAGTTTGGGACTGTCRAGAGAAATCTGAAGAGGAGTCCATGCAAAATGACTTTTCTGTCAGAAAACAGTCTTGTTGATTTCTCCTGGGATTCTCCCTTCCTCAGGTCTCCAGAACAAGTTCCTGGCCCGATATGTGTCTCTCCCAAACCAGAACAAGATCTGGACGGTGACTGTGAGCCCTGAGCAAAAGGACCGCACCCCCCTGGTGATGGTGCATGGCTTTGGGGGCGGCGTGGGCCTCTGGATCCTCAACATGGATTCACTGAGTGCCCGCCGCACACTGCACACCTTTGATCTGCTTGGCTTTGGGCGAAGCTCAAGGCCAACATTCCCAAGAGATCCGGAGGGGGCCGAGGATGAATTTGTGACCTCAATAGAGACATGGAGGGAGACCATGGGGATCCCCAGCATGATCCTTCTAGGGCACAGTTTGGGAGGATTCCTGGCCACCTCTTACTCTATCAAGTATCCTGAAAGGTAACAAGAAGGCAGCCACTCCTCTTCCTCATGACTTGACTCTTGTAGGAACTTTAAAGCATTGACCTTGTAGGAACTTTAAAGCATTAATTTCCAATAGTCCTGTTCTTCCTGGGTGATTTAAGGGCTATGGTGCCAAGTGACTGTAGCATGGTCTCCTTTTTCTTCCTTTAATATAGAGTTAAACACCTTATCCTGGTGGACCCCTGGGGCTTTCCCCTCCGGCCAACTGACCCCAGTGAGATCCGTGCACCTCCCACCTGGGTCAAGGCTGTGGCTTCTGTCCTGGGGCGTTCCAATCCCCTGGCTGTTCTTCGAGTAGCTGGGCCCTGGGGTGAGTATCCTGCTGATGAAGAAACCCTCTCCTTTTTTTTTTTTTTTTAAGTTCTTTTTTCATTATTTCTTACATACATCACAATAGAGGAGTGCATTACATTCATCATTTTTTTGCAATGAAATTATTAATACACCTTTATACCACAATTTATCAGCTTTTTTGATATCCTAGCCATTCTAATCTTAGTTATGTCCACCTGCTTATATTCCTTGAGATAGTGCTTGGCTTTGCCTTTTAAAGCATCATTTGGGCAAATGTTTTCTCAGATACTTTACCTTCACCTCTGCAAAATTCCTTCCCTTTTTCTTGAGGTTGCTTGAGGGTTTTCTCTTCCTCATCCTCCATGGTTCAGTCAGGAAAGAGCTATTTGGGTTATCTTTATTTTCCAAAGTTCATCCTTCTTGAGGTGAAACACAAAGTGTCATGATCCTCGTGAAACTATTCCTGATTCCTGCCAAGAATGTGACCACTAATCCCACAGAACTACTTCCAGCACTCTTCCTACATTCTGCTTTCCTTACCGGCAGTTTTAGACTTGCCTTATTCCTTCCACTTGATTATAAGCCTCATAAAGGCAGCTCTTTGTCTAAAATCTGTGGATTTTAGACTAATTGTGAATGATTAATACATATTTGAATAGCTTAATTCAATCATTTATTCAGTGATAAATTTGTGCCCACTACAAGAATCTTAAACCAACCTACCTTCTGAAAACCACATCAGTCAACAGTCTGAGAATCCACATGCACACAAATACTATCCATAGAGCCCCAGTCTCATATATAGTGTGACTTATGCTTTTTCAAATGTATATAGGATTACTAAAATACAATTAATTGATTAATAAAATATAATTCACTTAAATATATGACTAAGTTGATAGTAAATTTAGGTTACTGCATTTTTTCTCAATCAATAGATTCTTTCAAGAATGGGTCCAAAAATTTTTTTTTGTTTTTATATTTGAATCTTTGCAAATTTTAGAAAACAATGGGTTAAATAACACTCAAAAGTATTATGAGGCTGGGGTTGTGGTTCAGTGGCAGAGTGCTTGCTTAGCACGTGTGAGGCATTGAGTTAGAAACCCTCTCCTTAAAGCAAGGCTGTCTCACTCAACTAAGCCCTACTGTATCTGGTTTCCCACCATCTCCACCTATTCATAAAAAGTGGGATCTGGATCAGATCTCTTGGGTGTTTCAGAGGGTTATTTTTTCCCTTAAAGTTTTGCTATGTAGAGGATAGAGCAGAACAGCTACCCCATACCTTGGCAGACCCTCAGGGAAAGAAAGAGCCTGTGAGGTGACTCTTTCTCTGCTACATGTGTGAGTTTGTAGGACCAAGCTATCCGGGATTCAGGTATAGTAACCACCACTGGATCCCATCCCAGGGGCTCACCTAGCACCTGTAGCAGGGAGGGTCAGAGCCTGAGCCTTTAACGTTAACTCACAATGGCAAGCAAACCCTTCTAAGCCATGCCCTGCTTCAAGAAAACACTACATCTTCATCTTCTCTGGGTTGCTGAGTACTAAGTGATTCTTTAGGTTAAAGGGAGGGAAGAGGTGGGGAGCCATGGTGTAGTACTAGTAGCTCTACTCTTCATATCTTTCATTGTCCATACCCTTCACTGTGGGAAACTTATTACTCTGATGAAGTAAAAGGCAGATTTCCTTTGTGGAAAAGATTAGTGACCTTTTTTTTTTTGTTCTAATGGCATATATATACATAGTAATGTTCAATAGTCAATTACTGTGAGTTAAATCTAATGGCTAAATAAAAGTTATCTCTGTGGTCCCAACAAGAAAAACAGAATGGTTCCAAATAAAGGAGGTCATTAGCATTTGAGTAGGAGGTAGGAGTTCAAGAGTCCTAGAAGAAAAGAAAGCTAGCAAGAGAACACAGATGCCAAAGGAGAATATGTAGGCAGAGGGCTGACCTTAGTGTTCCCAGCACTGTGAACTCCACCARATTCTCTACAGGGAGAAGCCCTGCTCTAACCACCATCTCCCTTTCTGGCCTTGTATCTGGCAGGTTTGTGCAGTGTATCAGAGCTATTGAGGTGTTTGGCTGGCAACCATGGAAGCCTGAGTCAGCAGAGGGGCAGGGCCCATAGATATCCACATTGCACCTCCCCAGCTACTTCTTGCAAACAGAAAAAGAGAGAGAAAGATGAGAAATTGACCCTTAGGCTCAGTTTTTACAGTCTCTTTGGGTGCTCTACTGGTTGGATGTGTACCATCAAGCAAGGTGAAAGGAACAGATTGTTCTAACACAGTGTCCTGAGCCAGATCGTTAAGGACACCTCTCCACATATTATTTCAGGCTTGAAAATGAGAGGACTCTTGGGAGGTGGTCCAGTTTCATCTACTCCCTTCAGAAGGTTAAAAGGCCATATGGGTCCCAGGGAGAAAGAAAACATGGCTCAGACTATAAGAAAAACATCTCCGCCATAGACTCTTGTGGAGTTTATGGTCCTTGTAGGAAAAGACCTTGGGACTTCATTGAGCTGAAAATAACCTGGTTTCTCAGTGATGTTAGACTATCTTTAAATTCTTAGGTGACCAACTAACTGTCATTTGAAGTCAACTGGAGTTTTCCAGCAGACTTCTATATTCTTTTTGCCACTATAATATTAAATGCATAAAGCAAATAAACCCTTCAGAGAAATAATATTTGGTTAAAGTTGTTTAAACATATCCCCTGCACTGCCCAAACTGGCCACTCATGTTTTTCTATCCCCTCCTAGGGCCTGGCCTGGTACAGCGATTTCGGCCAGACTTCAAGCGTAAATTTGCAGACTTCTTTGAAGATGATACTATATCAGAGTATATCTACCACTGCAATGCACAGAATCCCAGGTGAGGGTGGCTGTCAGGGCCCACTTGGGGTGGATGGTTTAAAGAAAAAATTTCCACTGTGTAGTGCTGTGCTTTATTTCTTCTATAAAGCACTGGCTCAGGGGAACACACACATATGTAGTAGCAGGCTTGATCATTTCCAAAGGGTTCTCCAGGGATGGGTACAACGGGATGTAGAAGATAATAGATTAATTAAACATTTTGTCCATCTCTAGAGAAAGGTCTTCCCTCTTCCCTAGAGATAGGCAGTTGGCCTGATGGTCAAGAGTCTAGGAAACATTTTTAAAGACTTTTTTTTAAATTGAAAAAGTGATACAAACATAGTAATTTTTTAAAAAGCAAAGTAAAAGAAAGAACATCATTCCCAACCTGAAGTTCCTAAATCTCCTCATTATTTTCAATCTAAGATGTCAACAAACATTGCTTCAGAGAACCTCCTGGCACATATTCCTTTATATACATATATAATACATCTATAGAATACATTCCTACAAATAGGATTGTTGAGTGAAAGGGTAGGTGTTTGATTTAATTATGTGCACTTTGAAATAAAATCATTGGGACTCAAATTCCCACTCTTGTGGAGGTTTGAAGGTGTCCCTGGAACCTTGAGAAAGTCTATCCCTGGCAACTCATTGACACAGCAAGTCCCATTGCTTGACAGCCAGGGCCAAGCCAAGGAGGCAGTCTTCTCCTATAATAGATGCCCTGTGAATGGCAGATAGCAAAAGGCCACTTTGGTGGCATCACCTTTGTGGAGTCCTCTCCCCAAGTTGCTGGGAGGCATCTCAGGAGCTAAGGTCACTTACTGCCCTAGTTACCTGCCTTGAGCCCAAAGTGAAGAAGGTGGGGCTCTGCCTTCCAGCAATACTATCAGCATTAGCCTCAGAGAACTTTGGGGTAGTGTGGGAGCTGTCCTGCCAACATTGCACATGAGTTCAGCTAATGGAAGGGCCCAGTGAAGCAGTGCAACAAAAACCCTCCCGGTCACATCAGACACCTCTCTCTTCCTGCTCGTAGCTCATCTCAGCCCTTACATGCTCAGCACCAGTCCCATAGGCCTATTCCTGCCCTTCCCTCAGAATTTTCCCTACCATGGACCTAGTTCTGTACAATAGCCACCCAGTCCAAGTCACAGAATAATCTTGCAACTTATTTATGTCCTAGAGGAAGCAAAGATGACATCATGATAACCATCTCCCTTACCCCCAACTGCCATTGCTCAATTTTATAATTCCCTGAGTTTTTTGAGTTGTAACTGATAAGTTCCTGATGACTTTGATTAGTCCCTTGGAAAACATGACATCTGGCAAAGAGAAAAATGTTTGAGGGGTATCTACTTCACTTCACTTCACTTAAATTTAGGGGTTTTGTATTTATTTTCATTCTCTTAATCATGAGAAAATTTGTAAATGAGAAAATTGAGGTGTATCCTGTTTACAAGCCTTGCTAAGGAAACAGCCAGAATTTGAATTCATGTCTGTCTGACTCCAAATTCCATGATTTATCTACTTTGCTGTGACATATTAAGGAAAAGTTCCTGTGGCCTTGGCAGAATTCATCCTGGGGGTGCAAAGGAGACCAGAGGTATAACCATAGTAAACAGGCAGAGCCTTGAAGGTGGCTCAGACCCCTGAAAGCTGGAGTCTACGCTAGATTTGCAGATACCTCATGATATGGCCTCAGTTACTTCTATCTAGGAAATGACCAGAGAGTAAAGTAGATTGGGTTGGCATTTGTTGCTTCTCTTTAGCAGAAATCACTATTCCCCTAGTCTTCCTAAGACTGGTTTTTAATCCCAGAGTCTCCTCAGGAGGCCCTCTTTACTGCTATAGTCCTCAGTCTTCAGAGTTCACCTCAATTGGTTCCCATACCCTCCACCCAACAAGCTAAGTTCCTAGTCTGTGTTTTCACGGCTCTCTACTACCCTTTCATAATCCCCAAGAGATTTTAAGCTAAATGCTTAATTATATGATTAGCTATTTAACACTCATCTTCCCAAAATGTGAGCTTCAGGAGGGCAGGCACCTCATCTGTCACTCATATGTTCTCTCACCAGCCCAGGGCATGACATAAATATTTGTAGAATGAAAGCAGTCCATTTCACTCTTGGATGGTTCTCTGTGCCATGGGGTTTTCCATTGTGTGATGATTCCATCATCTCCTAATCTTACCAGTATTTAATAAGCCCAGTGCTGGGTTTTGAGGGAAATACAAACAGCACTAAGATTCTGTCCCAGCCTCTGAAGAGACCAAGAAGTTGACATTGTCTGCTGCAGGATTTATTATATTCATTGTCTTACCCTGGTTTGTTTCTGTCAGTGGTGAAACAGCATTCAAAGCCATGATGGAGTCCTTTGGCTGGGCCCGGCGCCCCATGTTGGAGCGAATTCACTTAATTCGAAAAGATGTACCCATCACCRTGATCTATGGGGCCAACACCTGGATAGATACTAGCACGGGAAAAAAAGTGAAGATGCAGCGGCCAGATTCCTATGTCCGAGACATGGTATGTTAGTCTACCCAAGGAGGGGGAGCCAAGGTGGAAATGCTGTGACTTGAATGATAGCACATGTTAACTGACTCTCCTTCAAACAACTCTGCCTTGGGTAGAGAAGGATGATCAGAGTAGGGCGAAAAGGGGAATGAACAGGTTGAGCTAGGGCATTAGATTTGAAATGTTTGGCTGTCTTGGTAATATCAAAATTAGAGACTTCCCCCTTCTGGAGAACCCAATTAGCTAAAAGGCAGGTTCTTGTCCAGTAGCCAGGCATACACACATTGCCACTCCAGCACCCCTCACCAAATAATTCCTGCCCCAAACCAGTGTCATGAATAGTAGAGATCATCATGAAGACTTCCTGCTACACTTCTGCCTTCTCCTTTTTTCTTATTCCTTCCCCTCATTTGCCAAGGAGCATGCTTCTAGGCTGGGTGCCACCCATGAGCTCTGGTTTCCTGGGTTTTGGAGCAGAATAGTGATGGAACTCACATGGAAGGAAAGATACAGTGAATGGCCAAAGAAGAAGTGGAACAGGATATGAAGAGTCATTGGTTCCCAAAGGAATGTACCAAGATCCAGGAAGAAAGAGCATTAGGTGTTAGTCAGTTTGCATTGCTAATGACCAAAATACCCGACAAGAACAATTTAGAGGAGGAAAAGGTATTTTGGGCTCACAGTTTCAGAGATTCAGTCCATAATCAGCTGACTCTATTGCTCCAGGCCCCTGGTGAGGCAGAACATCATGGCAGAGGATGTGGTGGAGGAAAACAGCTCAGCTCATGATAGATAAGAAGCAGAGCTAGAGGAGCCAGGGACAAAATATATAATCCTCATGACATGCCCCCAGTGACCCGTTTACTCCAGGTATGCCCCCACCTGCTTATAGTGACCACCAAATTATCACTCCATCAGATGGATTAATCCATTCAAATTATCACTCCATCAGATGGATTAATCCATTGAAAGCATTATGGCCCTCATAATCCAATCATTTCACCACCTGCATTAGCCAGTATAGGAGCTTTTGGGAGACAAAAGCAAATAACACATTTCTGATAAGAGCTGGTGGGTGAAAAGCAAGTTTAAGGAGAGAAGAAATGGTGGAGCAGCTTTCCAGTATTGGGTATAAAGGGCCATTTCAACCCTGATGGGTCTTTTCTCCACAGGAGATTGAGGGTGCATCGCACCATGTCTATGCTGACCAGCCGCACATCTTTAATGCTGTAGTGGAAGAGATCTGTGACTCAGTGGATTGAGCTGCTCTTGCTAGAGGAAGAGGAGAAAGSSAGAGAGTTGYTCTCACCTCCCTGTCTGCTTAGTCACCCCTCTGTTCTTTCCTCACCAACTAACATGTGCCAGCCAGGCAGAGTCTTAGGCTGTCCCCAAGACAGGACCACCGTGAAAAAGAGCACTTCTGATCCCATGCTGAGGGCTGGAGGCAGAAGCCACAAGAGGCCTTGAGCTCCCCCGCCCTGGGGAAGAATATGAAGGGTTGCCCAGTGCCACTCCAGTCTCTCCATGCCAAGTGTCACCCAGATGAAAGTTGTAAAGGAATTGCACCAATCCACGTTGCCTCTCTATGTGGCCTTTCATTCCTCTGAGCAGAGGAGGTCTCCCAACAGCCTTTCCTAGCTCTGGAGTGTTTATGGGGGTAGGTTCCATGCAAGAACATCTTCCCTCTCCATCACCTCCTCACTCCTATCCCATGCCAACTCCATCCAGGTTCTGGTTGGGATTAGGTCCCACTTCACCACCAAGAGCAGGTCCTAAAGCTTTGTTCACTTCCATGACCTCAGAAGTCATATCCAAAGCCCTCAATGGCAGATGAGGAAAGAGACCAGGGCAGGACATGGTGACACAACCCTGAGTGATAATAGTTCTGGCAGAGTGAAGACTAGAATGCAGGTCTACTGACACACAGTGCATACTGCAGATTCATGGCAGACACCAAGGGACTGGTCACCGACTGACTTCAAGCCTATCCTTATCCCATATTCTAGCCCCATTATGCAGACATGCTGCTGTCCTGCCCTGTGCCTGTCCTGGCTGCCTAAACTAAGGACACTCAAGTACTTCCTTCCTTGCCCCATCTTCTCCCTATGGGAGACTTCTGAGTCTCCCTTTGTGCCTTGGGCGTGAAGCCCCATGTGTAGTATAGAGCAAAGGTGGCTCCTGGTGGAGAGAGGGAGGAAAACCCTTCACCCCAGGGCCACGTCTGGATTCGCCATGCCCACCACTTTTCACAGCATTTTCTACCTGCCCCCAGAGCTGAGGACCACTAAGAGCCCCTGCTCATGATCCACTGGGGAGCCTCAAGCCAGCAGGTCCCTGCCCTCATCATCCACAGGATGGTTCTTACTGCCTGACCCTCTATCTCTACCATTTGTCCCCATGGTCCCTGCCCTCATCATCCACAGGATGGTTCTTACTGCCTGACCCTCTATCTCTACCATTTGTCCCCATGGTCTCCAGCTCATCCAGCAAAGAACCTGTCAGCTCTCTCCCAGGGGCTCATTCCATGTGCTGCTCTGAAGTCTGGGCAGTAGGCTGGGCCTGGCCCCAGAAGCAGGGCACCTCCTGTCTGCTCCTTTACTTTTATAAAGCCAACCCTTTCACCAGAATAGTATTAACTCCTGGTGCTGTGTACTACTGGTCCAGCCGCCTTGGGCTCCTTTTCTATATTAATAAAGAAATAAGTAAAAACTACTGGTGGTAATGATTCTTAATATTGCTGCAATAAGAGTACTAGGTGGTATTGACTTCACAATTGTCCAAGTGGTGTCCAAGTCAGAGAAGGAAGCCCTGGTCTACTTACATGCCACTCCCTGTTCTGTTTAGTGCTATGTTTTCCCTCTGAATCTGGCCCAGAGTCCAGGCCAACACAGACCATCTCAAACCCACTTGTGATAGGAGTCAACCCAGAGTATGGATGGATTCAGCCCCAGTTCACAAGGGAGAATTAGGCAGAACTGGATGCTCTCTGCTTCCCATTAGACACCTTCTCTCTAAAGTTCAGTGGGTCTGCACATGCACTGCTCCCTACAGCCTGTTCTAACTCCTACTCATACTCCAGATTTTAGCTCATATATTCCTTTTGTAGGGGAGTCTTACCGTGAGCTCCCAAATTAAATTTGAATACTATTTATGTCTCTCTGTGCTACACTCAACTTCCCCTTTTGTAAAACTCTTTGACTTATGGTCACTTATTTTAATGTCTCTTTTTTCCTTCAACATAAACTACAAAAGGACAGGGATACATCTGGGACTTAGTTCATGAATAAATGTTTTGTACAAGTCACAAGAAATGAGATATGTCAAGTGCTGGAAAATGATCAAATCATGACGCACGGTATGGCTGACTCCAGGTAAGCCCAGAATTACACCTCTGAGTGGCATATGATACTGTATATGCCATGACAAACAACTGAATGAACCAATAGAACACCTGGAAGAGTTACAAATCTCTGATCCATCCCAGGACCCTGTGTCTTCTCTGAAAATTGCTGTATAGAGGAAGAGGGCAGGTATTTAGAACTTACTATACCCCAAGCTCTAGTGCTACAATAATGAATAAACATGGTCCCTGCTTTTGTAGGAAATTCCAGCCTACTTGGAGAGACATACTTAATCTAATAACTATGTAAATCAATGAGAACGTGGAGAAGAAAAGTGCTGCCCATAGAAGATTGGGGAAGCCTGGTGCAGGCCTCTGGCAGCTGAGGTTGAAAGTGAAGCAGGGAGGAGGAAGTGAGGAGCCCCTGGGGGAGGATGGCTCTTAGGTAAGTCTGGGAGGCACCTGCTCACACAGACTGGTCATGGGAAGAATGTGTTCATCCTAAAAAGCAGTGGAAGGAACTGAGCTCTGGTCTGGATGAGGTAAAGAGTGACAGTATCAGACTGATTCTGAAACAGCAACTCTGACTGCTCTGTGGGGGACAGCCTGGAGGAAAATTAGTCCCTCCCTGCAGGAAAACTCAGAGACTCCACAGTGGTAAAGGCCAGAAATGCTGGCAGATTGGACTTGACTAGTGGAGAAAGATGTAAAAAATGTTTGGGTGATTAAAGGGACGAGGTGTCAACACCAAGTGATGCTATCACCCTCCTGAAGAAGGCGCCGAGTGAGATGGTGCAGTGGTTACCACACCTGCTCATTTAACAACCTGGAACCATTTTTTAAAATATAGATTTCTGATCTATATTCCTCCTTTAATAAACCTGAAAGAAATCTGACCATCAAATCTGCATTAAAAGGCATTCCTAGGGGATTCTGATGCCCCAGCTCTGCAGTTACTTATCTAAGGGATTCTGTATCTCTGACTCTTGACCAAGAAAGCCCTTGTGTACAAGTAGGGCTGATGATCCTAAAAGTTCATCCTGCTTGCCCAAGAGTCACTTTTCTCTGGAAGGCTGTACAATAATGTTGATATGCAAAAACACCTCTTAGGAGCCAGGTGCAAGAGGAGTCAAGAAGGTCATTCAGGATGCTCTGTTCTCACTACTGGCTCATGAGCATGGAAACTTTCCTCAAACTTGGAGATCATCCTGCCTCAGGCTCCTGAGTAGCTGAGTTTACAGGTATGCATCATTGCACCCAACTAAATCTCTTTTTACATCAAAACATATACAATCTACAGAAATGCATCATTATTCTTATTTGTTGCACTGTCTTCCATTGTGAGAAACTGCCATAATTCATCCACTTTTCTGTTGTTGGACTTTAAAGTTGCTTCTAAATATTTTTATGCTTTAAACAAGGTGTTATCAACACCTATATATACATTTTTGCCCATTTGACCAACAATTTCCTTCTCAGAAGATTGCAGAATTGAAGGATATTTTTATAAGCAATGAAAATAGTTTATGCCAAGCAATCAGAAAAGAAAAAGCAAAGCTGGGCATGGTTGCATGCACATATAATCCCAACTACTTGGGAGGTTGAAGCAGCACAACTTGGTGAGAACTGGTCTCAAGAAAAAAGAAAAAAGAAAGAAGGAAAAGGAATCCAGCAGAAAAATTAATGTTTTATCTATGTAAAGAGTATATGAATTAAGTAATTTACAGAAGACACATGAATGACCAATAAACATGAAAAGATGCTCAACCTCACTAGTAATAGAAGAAATAAAATACAATAATGAGATGCTAGTTTTACATGGAGAATGACAAAAAATTTAGAGGCTGTTGATAATATCTACAATGGCAATGATGAAAAAGATGGACATTTTCATGCAATGGCTGTGGGAGAGGAAATTGTACCAGATTTTTAGAGAGATGTACAAGTCAAAGTCTCTGCCTTTATGGAGTTTGCCTTCTAGTAAGAAAGACGAGCAAATACAAATATGTAGATATCAGGCAGTACTATGGAGTGTGGTCCACTTCTGGCTATGATAGCCAAACAGTGCACGTGGCTCTGCCTATGGCCTTAGCCCCACTCTCCTGCCCTTAGAAGGGCCTTGCCTGCCATTTTTTCTTTCCTTTTTCAACAGCCTCGTTAAAATTTATCCAAAGTTATTATGCTCTGCAACTTGGGGAAAGGGACAAATTTCCAGTCCTAAACTTAGAGAAATCAATAGCCAAGGGATTTGAAACTTCCAATCTTTAAAGTTAGAGCAATCAACAGCCAAGGGATTACAAGTGTCTGGGGCCTTGTTAGCACAGTGTTGTGAAGAATCTCAAGAGAAGCTCTATAGCTTCACTCCACAGAGGGGAAAGTTTTCCTTAGTGGGTCACTACTTAGAACTTCATATTTCAAAGTTTCATAGAAACTTGGAATCAATCCAAATATACCAGGTCTGTACTRGATACACAGTATCACAAAGTCTCTTAAAATACCTTATACCAAGGAATTGTTAGGGAAGTTACTTCAGTAACCCAGCAGGGTCTTTAGTACTGCCTAGGGTTGAGTTCAGTGAATCTCATTTTCCATGGTACACCTTGAGCTCAAGAGAACACAGGAGAGACTCCAAAGTCATTTCCATAGTATTATTCACTGGCCTCTCACCAAAAGAATCCGAAAGCAGGGTCAGAGTTCTGGAGAAGCAGGAAGTTCCTGGGGGGCCTTGAAAACCCCTCTAGCTGGGTGACTTAGGAAATTCCAAGAGCAAGTAGCTGTTTCTCATCCCTGAAATGATTTAGAATTTGTTAAAGAAAACTAGAAACAAGAGCATGGGCTGGAAAAGAAGATACAATGTAACCAGGCTAAATAATAATAATAGTCAACATGTACCATTCCAAGCTTACTATGTATCATTCCAAGCTCTTTACATGTTATTTTAG